CAATGTTCTCTCTCATCGATGTTTCTCTCTCTCTCTCTCCCCCTCTCCTTTCCTCTCTCTCTAAATTCAATGAAGAAAAATATATTTAAATGCATTTGCAGAATGAGTTGACCATGTACATCCTATAAACTGCTAACTTAGGAGATATCTGTGGCTAAGCCTCGTGTGGAGGGAGCCTCTGATGGGCGAGGAAGACAGGCAGGTTTAGCCATGGCAATAAAATCAATAGGCATAGAACAATTGGACTGGCTCCTGTCCCCTATCCTCCATAATAACTGATTTTGGATGTCTCATTCACTTTGAGTTAGGTCCCTATCCTGAATTAAATTTGGTTTAGAAAGATGAAGGAAAGCATTTTTTATATTTTCTTGCTTCTTACCCAATGCAAGAGAAATAATGTAAATTAATTGAAAAGTTAAAAGTAAAACAAACAAACAAAAAAAACTAAGTTGAAATAACTTAATATTACTGGAGATAGATATTAATCAAGGTAGCATTTCCATAATAGGTAGACAAGTAAAGCATATTTTTGTCCAGATTGAGGTTGGAAGGAGACCTAAATATGATGGGGTAGGTTTCACCTTCCTGATATCAAAGGGCCATAGTTATTTGTATATTTATATGTTGGTTATAAAAACCAATGACATTATTTCATATAATCCTTCCTCCTTCATATGATATGGATGTTCATATAACAATGTCAATTAATTCAATGAAAAGGTTTTTGTTACCGATTTCCAGATGATGAATTATGTAAGTGAAATGTCTACTATCATCGAGGAGTAGTAATTGTTGGTGCTGGTGCTGTGTGACTTTGGAAACGGGATGTAGCATCTGAAGATAAACATTAGCAGAGAGTCTAATGTGACTCTGAGATCATCTCTGTCATATTTCGATAGTCTGTACTGACTTCTCCTCAAGGATTCAGGAAAGTGAAGAATTTGGTCCTGCAAAGCTGCCACAATATTGACTCACTCATCCTGTGCCTAGAAGGTCACAAGAGGTTTAAGGGCATGTGCTTTATCAGGATAGACCTCTTTTAAAATGAAAGAATAATCTTTTCTCTTGTTCAGATATCAAGCCAGTGGACCCATTTGAAAAATATTGGAGACGCTGTATTGTTTCTTAACTCTATATTGCTTTAGTTTTCCAGAAGCGGCTCTCTTGCCTCCAAAGGTATGAGACACCCCTTTGATTAGTGCTTCCTTCCAACTCTGACCATATGATTTTATTATGCTTTATTTAACCGAAATATGGCTCAGTCTTCTCATTTACTTTAAAAAAACATATGTGTGTTTATATATATATATATTCCTAAAAATAATTTTGGTTTATTTCTAAATATGACTGTCTTGTTTATTTCTCATAATATCCATTTTGGATATGGAAGACATTTTTCTCTCCATTTTAAATATGAGGCGTAAAAAAATTGAACAACCTGCTCAAGGTTAAATCGTAAAGTGTAGCCAGTCTGGGGTCCAATTCTGTTTTGTTTCAAAGGCTAAGTTTTAAATATTATGCTCTGCCTGGAGGGACCCCATCCCCAGTAACCGCCCAGTCACCCTGAATTGCCTCATTCCATTTTTTTTTAAATCCTCACCAGAGGATATTTTTTCCATTTATCTTCAATAGAGTGGGGGGTGGGAGAGAGAGAGAGAGAGAGAGAGAGAGAGACAAATATTGATGTGAGACAGACAATTCCACTGGTTGCCTCCCGCATGACCCTGACCAGGACTGGGGACCAAATTGCAACCGAGCTACATGCCCTTGACCAGAATCAAACTCGAGATTCTGTGGTCTGCGGGCCAACACTCTAACTGCTGAGCCAAACTGGCCAGGGCCATTTTTAATTCTTTGAATAAAATTTATAACTTCTAGTTTTGCTGTTGTTGTTTATTGTTTAATTAATCCTCACTTCCACATCCTCTGCTAGAATGTAAACCTAAGAGCAGAAACCTGTTATTCACTTGTTGCTACACAACAGCACCTAGAACAGTGTCAGGCATGGTGTAGGCATGCAATGAATGTTTGCTGAATAATGGAAACAACTGACAAGGCCCTAATTTTCTGCCTTCTGGTTGCTCCTAGGTGAAGGGAAAGACAGACTTGTGTGAGAAATGAGGAAAGAACATAGAATGTCCCATGACAGAATTTGGAAGGCTGCCAAGGGAGTCAGGGAGGCGTCACTGATGAGCTGCCGTTTGCTCTGAGAATTAAAGAGAGAAGAAGGGCATGAAGAGAGCATGAGGGGTGGATATAATCCCAGAAACGAGAAGTCGGAGATTGTGTGGAGCATGAAGTGAACCTGTGTATTTCCCTGTGAAGAAGCACATCTACCCAGCCTGGAGATTTCTCCTGGAGGGCCCCCGAGCATTCCGGACTGACTAGTCTCAGAGACTTTGTTACATCTTTATAATTTTTTTACTTACTCCTCAGTGTTCCCCATGGGCTATGAGATCTTTGATACAAGGGACGAAGAGGATCAGATGGTGAGTTTCCTCTAGGCAGGGATTCTGGCTTCTTTGTCTTTGTCTTCTCATAGATCAGCATGGTCCTGGTCATTGGTGACCCTCAGTACATGCATCATGTATAATACATGTAGAATGAATCAATGAGTGAATAAACAAATGAATGAGTGAATGACATGGCTTAATAGCAGCTTATTTAGAAAGAGTTTTAAATTTAAGTTGAGGACAAGCAGCAAAAAGAGTAAATGTGGTCTTAGGTAGCAATAATAAAAGTATAGTGCCTGGGTTTGAATATCTGGAATTTGGAATTACAGACATAGAAGTGGTGGGAAAACTGAGAGCTGAGATGTGAAATGATTGGTTCATGGTTCCACAACAAATCTGTGGTCAAAGTAGGACTTCACTTCAGAGATCATGGCTCTCAATTGAATGTGCTTTTTACAAATTGGACTATATTCTGTGCTGGTCAGACCACAACTGTGGAAATCTGTGCAATTCTGAACTCTACATTTAAAGAAATGTATTGACAAAGTAGAGTTTGTTCAAGGAAGGATGACGCAGATGCTAGGGGGATATGGAAACCATATTCCATGCAGCTCAGATGAGGACATTAAGGATTGATTGCTTCATATAAAGAAGAAAATACAAAGGGGCTGTGGGGTGAGAAGAAAAACATGACATCTGTCTTAACATTTTAAAATACATAACTCATTATTCTTTTGCCCCAGAGAGAAAAAAATAGGGGCCATAGTTAGAAACCACAGAGAAATAAATTTCAACTCAATATAAGAATAGTTGTTTTCAAAATTAGAATTGTCCAAGAATGGAATTCCAAATTATAAGAAATATACAAATAGAGGTTAGATGATTATCTGTCTGAATTAGATTATGAGTTTCTTTGTAGTGGAGGTCATGTTTCATTTGTATTTCCCTAGGACCTTGAATAGTGCCTGGCATATAGTTTATGCTCACTTAAGATTTGTTATCGCATCCTTTAGAAGGGATTCTTTCATGAAGTGTGTAAGCATGGAGGTAAACAGGAATGCACTATATTATTAACTCCAAGGACCTTTTCAACACTTAGGTTTTTGATGATTTGATAAAAATTTATACAAAGTAATGTATCAATACTTAACAAAGTAAGTCACTACTTAAACAAGTGTACAGAAGTCAGTGAAATTGTTTCTTTTAAGCTCTATAAGCCCTGTGATGTGGTATTTTTGCTCTTCCTTTAGGAGGAGGGTTTATTGCCACAACTCCTGTCTTATAAAGGAGATCAGGACTAGTGACATTTAAGCACCTGTCAACCAAACCAAAATTCCACACAGAAGTTTAAATGGAGTTTGTTTTGCGTAAGAGACATAGGACTGATTTATGGAAACACGTGAATGATGATTATGCCAGTAGATTCACATTTTTCAAAGTGATGACTAACCTAGAAAAACAGGTTATCCAGAGTCCGAAAGTCTATTTAGATTGTGACCTTTTAATGTTTTCTCAAATATCTTAAATGTCACCTTATTTTATTTTTTGGTACAAGAGTGTCGCTTCCTTTAGTTCATGCAGAAGTAATTTGAAGGAGACAAAGAAAGCTTTATTTAGATTTACTATATTAGCTACAGAAAGCTATGAAGAACTAAATAATAAAAAGGCAATTATTTGATTTATTTTCATCTGTTTCTTTGAAAATGTTTTAGTTAATTTTTCCAAAACAAAGTGGTCCTACCTGTGCTAAAAAATCCATCAACTTCCCACTAAGCTCTTTCAGATGTTATGGATTCATTTTTTTCTTATTTCATTATATAAGTATGTTTAAGACATGTTTCTCTGTTTTATAAAATATTATCATCATCTTAGTTCCATTTCGAATAATGGTGCTGCATTAATCATAAAGCTATTCATGAGGTATTTGGTTGTGATTCTAACTTCTTTTAAAAAAACTATATACTAAAAATATAGCAAGGTGCTTCAAAGAATTCACGGTTTTGGTGTTTCACATTTAATGATGTTATTAAAAATTTCCCCTAATTGTTAATTCCACTCACCTAAATGGAAGAGATTTTGTGCTCTGTGTATTCCTAAAATGCAACCTGTTCAGGACCCTTCGGATACATGCACTTAACTGGGAGATTCTGAGATGCTTCGCAAATAAAATCCAATATCTTCTTTCCTTCTCTGTTATGAGTTATAAAATACTTTCCTTTCCCTTCTTTTTGATTTAATTTATATGCCAGAGATTTTTCTGCTCTGGGAGTAAAAATGGAGGAGCAGGGAAGAAAGTTGATGAAATAGAGATGATTCAAAGATCTGAAATATTTTATCCTCACTCGATATAAAGTAAATTATTTTTTCTCTTTTCCAATAACCATCATTTCCCTTGATCTTGGAATCACTCAAAACCTAGCCACTGAGTCCTGTATAAACTAATCTCTGTCTCAAGATGTAGAGAGAAATGAGATACCAGTACCCATACAGATTGTACTAGCTTGATTGTATTTACAGTCATGAGATACCGCAAATTTAAGAATGCCATTTTTTTCTCATCACTGAGTATTTATTATATATAACAAATACATGGGAAAGAAAAAACTATATTGTGTGATATAAATAGTTTATTTACATTACAGAAAAACATCAAGACAATGTATACTATTTCAAATATATCCATACATAATCAAATATAGCTGTAGTACATGTTTTCATTGGTGTAGATTACCACAAATGCAAGGCAACATGTGTAGATCTCTTGTCTTATTCTTTTGACTATAATACTGTATTGTGTAGTCCAAGCTTTCGGTAGTCTGGCCACTGTGCAACATGCTCCCTTCAGATTAACCTTGTGGACGCTCTTGTCGTGTTGTCTGAACTGTAGTGCCCTGTATTTTGCTTCTGTCTGTGAATTCTGTTGCTTCTGGGGCATTTCCTAAAAGGTTGGAAGTTCACAAATTTTAGTTCAGTGCTATCACCTAAAGTTTGATCTGACAATCATAGGGTGAAGCTATGGATTAAGCAAGTTATTAAAAATAGTTCAGATGAGAGAATTTATTAGTAATATAGCCAGGTACCAGTCGTGTTTAAGGGTCTGTTGAGGAGAACTGAAGACAGAGGCGGAAGTTGAAGAGAACTACATTTACTTAGTCTTCAACTGCTTACTTATTAAAGCACAAAGATGACTAAGCACATGCAATCAAGCAAGTCTCGAGCCCATCTAATCTCATTTTAAAGGTCTTCAACAATTTTATACTTTAAATGTCCTGAAGATGAATGTTACATTGGCATTTCAATGCTACAAGTTTAAATCCCATCAAACCAGAGAATGAGCCAACTGTTAATATCTGATATATAATGGAAAGAGTTATTATTTTGGTTCAAGCTAATATCATTTTTTTTGCATTAATATTATAAGCTAAGGACATAAATTGGTACCAATTATTTAGCTTCTATAAAAAGCCAATATTCAGTTAAATTATCTGAAAAGCTCTGATCTAGTATCTCTTGTCTTGTAATAAAAGAATGCTTTGATGATGCAAAAGAGAACAACATAAAGTCTATAAAAATTCTATCATAAGCTGTGAGGTATCAGAGAATATATAAATAAAATATATAGTATACATTAATATGTATGTGTGTGTGTATATAATATGTATATATAATGCATGTGTGTGTACATATATATGTGTGTGTATATATATACATATATATTTATGAGTTTTTTTTTAGGGGGAGGGTAGATCTATCAAAATGACAATGGACAAAATAGATCTAGAGACATGGAAGTAGAGAACAGACTGATGAATCTCAGAGGTAAGAAGGGGAGGGAAAGAGTAACCAAAAAGCTTCTATGCATATATACACAACCCATGGACACAGACAATAGTATGGTGAAGGTCTGGCAGGGATGGGAGTAGAGTGGATAGGGTCAATGGGGAAAACGGGGGGACATCTATAATACTTTCAACAATAAAGAAAAAAAAATTTTTTTTAAAAGGACATGAAACTGGAAGTCACATTTTAACAAGTGGGAGCTAGATATAAAAAGACTGAAGATTCATTTTCTCAACAGGGCAACTCTTTTTCATGTCTCTAGATGTCTATATGTTTTCTATAATACATGTTGTATTTAGGAGGAGGGGAGGTGCTTGATTAAAATAGTTAATACAGGGGAAGAAATGAGAAATAAAAAAGTGGGATAAGGAAAAAAGGAAGAAAAGAGAAGTAGAAAACAGGAGAGTCCAGGTGAAGAGATTTTTAAAAATTGGAAAGGAGGGGATCTCTGCTTGGTGCAATTTTAAAAATTATTTAGCAACTGGATATTTTGGAATAGATCTTGACCCGTGTGTCCAGGTCACCAAGAAGAGAGGGTTTTGGTGGATGGGTAGGGGGATGGCTTGGTTGGAAAGTCTGGTTTTTGAGCAGAATTTTTTCAAGTGATTGAAATTAATCCACATTAGGAACAGTGTAGTTTATTGACTAGTTTGACTCCTGGAAAGACTCTGGAAGGCTTGGATATCATAAGACAAATTTATACAATGCATTATAATAATGCTAATTTAGTTCTTGTGCTAGTTCTCTTCCTCAAAAGTAAACAGAAGGTAAGTTTTATTTGTGTTAACACAGATAATGGTAATAACCATATGTCTTGAAAAAACGATTTGCTCTAATTTGGAGCCCAGTTGAGGTTGCGTTGACCATCAGAATATACAACACCATGACCAACCAATGGCTGTATGAGCAGTGATCAGGTACACAGGCTCTGATACTAGGCAGCCCTCCGTTTCTGCCCTTATTGCTCAGCTGTGTACACTCAGCAAATTGCTAACTTCTCATACCTCAGAGTTCTTATCTTGAAAATGGGGATAATTGTTTCTTCTTCATCATGTTATTAAATGTATGTGTCTCTGTTTTTGTGTATATACATATAGGATATATATATATACACACACATACACAGTTCCTGGTAAGATAAGGACCCTGTGCATTCCAGTTGTTTTTATGGTGTATGGGAATGGAACTGGGATTAAAATCAGACTTAAAAACATTTGCTGAAGTATTTAAAGTTTTGCATTTTTGTTAGTACATGAAGTAACCAATTCAATCATTATGAGATTAGATCTGCTAAGTATAAATTTTGTTTTTTATATCCTGATATTGTTTAGATATTAGAAGGCTCAAGACCCTCAGAGTAATGTGGCTCAGTTTCCTGTGTTTTAGACTCTTTTCTATCTTCTATACTCAGTGTTTTTGGTTTCTTCAGTTATCTGTATGTTCCCAGAATCTGTTTTAATATAATCCATTGACTCACTTGGCATCTAAACGTGAGAGTCGAGCTGATGAACTCAACTGGGCTGAGAGCAGCATGAAGCTCCGGTCAATGATCTTCCCTTAAGCCTTTAGTTCAGGCAAGGATTTATGAACCATATTTTGTCTTTTTCAAGAGCAAACGCCACACTTGTCCTCAAACAAGATAGTGCAATACAGAGACTGAGATGTATTATAGCCTTTATTTTCTAAAGATATGATACTTTTATTTTCTCTCTTTCAAAAATCATTTTTGGGGAAACATTCTGACTTATAGTAGAGCTGGGAGAACAAATGGAAGTCTAAATGCCTTGTGAATTTGAAAAATCCTTGAAAACTTCCTTAGAACTTTTTTCCTCAAGGAGAGTGAAAACAGATCAGAAAGAAGTACCTTCAATAATGTTTCTGGTTAGACAGGACATAAACGATATGCATTTGGTTTAGAATCCAATTCTTGATTACCTTAAATTTATATGCTAATACATTTAAGTAAGTACATGGTCTCTCTCCTTTCCTCCGAGCCCAGTGTCAGACATCACTAATTAATCATGGTTTTCTTTCCTGTTGAAACTAGATGAAATCTCTGTATCTCTCACAACCTGACTCTGGGAAACAATTACCATCTGACTGCTCTGGGAGTTTTGATATTTGTTGCCTGTTTTCCATGTGTCAAAAGTTTTAATGTACTATAAAATTATTTTCTCATTATAACTATTTTCTTTGAATTTTGTGATTAAAAGCTATTTTGTTAATCCAGATAAAAATGTACTTGTTGTTTATATCAAACATGTTAAAAGTGATTATATCTAAGTTATACTTGGAAATAAAAGTGCTATCAGTGGGAGCTATAGTTTAATACTTTTCTAGGCCTTGTTTAAAATCTATTCTGACCTCATTCAGCATACGGATCTGGACAGTAAGGAAACACTGGTCATTTAAATAGTTTGTTAACGGTGTAAATGAAGACAGACTTTTTCTAGTTGAAAGAGAGAGTGTGTTTAAACAAAGACTGGCATTATACATTACAGGGGAAAAAAGACCTTTGCTTAGCAAATGAATAATCCTCATCATGATGCAAAAATAAGAAAAATAACTGGTACTACTCTAGCATGAAAATAAATGTCTTTCCATTTGGCTATTCAAATACTCTTATGAAGAACTAGGACTCCTGAGAATGGATGGTTGTAGAGTCCATGAAGAGACTCGTAATTAGAGTGATCTGATTAAGACAAGGAAGAATAACATATCCCTTTATTTGGGTGGTCACTGGGTACAGCTACTGACCTTGTGATGCAGAGGACCACCACACAGATGACAGCAATCTGAATGGTTCCAATCACAGCTGCAATTAAGACGTATTGAAATCGTACAGGGCCGGGAACAACATACAGTACACTGTAGTCCTTTTTTTCACAGTGTTGTCCAGTATAACCAGCATCACACCTGGAAGAAATTATAATGTCAAGTTACCTGAAACTGCTGGACTCATTTTTATTGTTGGTCTATGAGCATTTATCTTCATCAGGAAAGTAGGGATTTTTGTTTCCTTGTTTAAAAAGTACCACTTAGTAGATGTTAATTCTCCACTACTTATTTTCAGAAAGATCTCTTTGTGTTTTGGGTTTTCAAGATATGTGATTTCTTTTTATACTTACAATAAGAGAGTTTGATAATTGTTCTCTCTATATTTTTTTCAGGTGAGCTTTATGTTTTACTTAAATTGTTCTTTCATCAACCCAAGTCAACAGAATTACCCAGAAAAAGTTTCTTTCTTATAACATGGGTACAAAAAATAGGTCTATTTTATTTATTTATTTTTGGATAAAACACTCTCTATGCTTCTGTTAGAATGCATGTTGAAAAATGTTAGGGCCAGGGGTACAATAAGAGTAATTTCTTTATTTTGTTGGTCATAAAGTTGTCTGCTTATGTTAGAAAGTTAAATTTCAGTAGGAAACAAAAACTAATTATGATGTAGGCGATACAGTTCTGCAAAACAAACCTGTGTGCTATTCATCTGAGAATGAATGTTGCCTTTTCACCCTCATCAGAAAGCTCAGGTAGCCAGTCTGTGTGTTAAAATCAGCATTTGACAATGAAACAAGGAAACAGCTCACATAAAAACAATACTAATGGGGATCAATTTCTCATTGGCTTTGTACAACTACTTTAGTACTTCACTTTGAATTTCTTCCAACTGCATCCTGGGATCTTTCCTGCCTGCCTCAGAGGAGTTCAATAACGGCAACTCTGCTGAGGATGACAGGTCAGCAGGAGCAAACTCTCAGTTACGTTCCCTCTGCCTGGCTTCACTGGAAGGCAGGTGCTAGTACATTCAGTGAAGGAAAACATGAAGGAAAGACAGTTCCTGAGAAGAGAGGTGTAGGGAGGAGGAGGGGGAGAGGGGAAGAGACAAGAGAGAAAGACAGAGGGAGAGAAAATCCTTTCACTGTAGAGCGACGCACAGCCTATTTCATCATACATCACTTGTATATTCCCTTAATAAAAATGCATCTGTTTTGTCACTCTGGCTTTACCATCTCTGAAGTAATTATGTGCTCTCTGTGAATATTTAGCAGCTATGTATATGTATTAACTAACCCCAGACAAGCAATTTCTTTGTGTCTCATCTGAGTTTGAATCAGTGGCAGTATCGCTTATCATCTCTCCATACAGGGTTTGTGGATAGCAGATCACAGAAAAGAATGTGCGCCTAGCAAAACCAAGATTGATGGCATTTATTTTAAGACCAGAAGGACTATGGAAAATATGGCCTCCTAAAGGCAACTATGTCATCTTATGTACAGTAAATATTCACCCATTCACTTGTGTGAGAAATATTTATAATTAAGCACCTGGTATGTGCCAAGTGCTGTTCTATGTCCCTGGGAAAGAGAATGAATAAAAGAGAGGAGGAGGAGTCACTAAGAAGCTTGTAATGCCCAGAGTACCATGTATATTCTACTAGAAGAGTATATATAATGATGCGTTACATAGTACTTGAGTGTGTAAGGCACACACATTTCATGGGGTTTGTGTGTGTGTGTGTGTATTTGTGTGTGTGTGTAGGAGAGGCAGAGAAAAGTTTGGCTGTTGATCGCCCATTTAGGCAGAATGGCATCCCATTCTCTGTAAAATTCCAGCATTAATTTCTACATGTTTACTTTACACATTTCAGAAGTTAAATAGTGGAAACATTACCTGCAAGATGGCTCCTGCATATTGATGGAATGTTCGCACTTCCCGTGCATGCAGAAACCATTGTAATGTTCTGGGCAAGGTATGTGGTGTTCTCTGGAACTTTCCTCTAATTTGTTAGCATTCTCTGTGAATACAGATAAGAGCAAGCACCCCTGTAAATACTCTCTTAGCCTGGTAAGATCAACCAGTACATTAAGAAGCAAAGTTACAGTAGGTAAAAATATTTAAAAGGGCAGGAACTAAAATCCATGCTTCAGAAGAATGAAAAAGAACTGAAAAACAGACGTCTTTACAATTGTGTTTAGAGCTAGAACTGCAAAATTACCCAGTGCTTTTCATGCTTTTATGCAATTTCCTACATCTTTAACAGCCAGTAATGTGTCTATGAGTTGTCAGACAGCCTTAATTTTTTTGTGTGTAGAGACTACATTGATCATGAAATAATTCAAGAAGAAATAGCCTATTTTTTGAATATCAAAGCCTAGCATAATGTCCCTAAAAGAAAATTGCTACCATATCTTGATACTTTTTCAATGTGGGAGCTTAAAAGTTAAAATATGGCCACATTCAGTTATTAAACAGATGTTTTCCTAAACCAAATGCAAATTTCAACAAATGTATTCTTTCAGGCTTTTTTCATTTACTGTGAACATGAATTTTACTAGCACCCATACATTTTCTTATAGCCAAAAAAAAAGCTATTAAAAGAGCAAACATTATTTCATAATCACTTATGTAGACACTAACACAGTATATACCAATGCTATAAGTGCATTGTAATGCCTAATATATGGCCTATGTTAACAATGTTATGTGAAATTTAAACTTATGATAATGAAAAAAAAAAGTGTTTAAAATCAACCCTTTCTTCTGTCCTTAACAAGTTTTGTTTCCTAATATTTCTGTAGAGATAATAAAATATTTTTCTGACTTTTGTTAATCAAATACATTTGCTTCACATTTGTAATGTCATCTCTAAACAGTCTTTTGATTCTTTATATGCTCATTTTATAATATAAATTTTTGCCTATTTTGAGTCTTTTCTATAATCTGAGACCTGATATACTTTAAAACTTGCCCAAACTCAAGATCAATATAACTTTCTTGACATCAATCTCAAGATATGCTTCAACACCACAGTAGTTGGTCAGTACTAATGGAAGATTGAGAACAAATTATCATTGTTATGAAATAGAATATTGTTACTTCCATTTATACTTTTTTATTATAGTGTATCCCTTATCATTTTTACTGACAGTCATGAATGATGAGCCTAATCATCAGGAGAAAAAACATACCTTTGTTACAGTGAACAGACAAATGTATTATTTACGTTTAAGCAGAGCTGTGAGATATCTATACATTTTAAGATTTAGATGTCTATCTTAAAATATGAAATGAATTCTTAAATACATTAAATGCTTTCTTGTGTAGGAATATTCAGATACCTTGGTATGATGGGTAATATTTCAAATTATATATCCAAAAAATAAAGGATCTCTAATATATATGCTGGAGAGACTAGAGATGGCATTTAAATGATCTATTTGTTCTATATGACTCTTTACCTATATAGGTGATCATTTATTTGTATTATGTTTCTACTGTGATAATTGCCATTAAACTAAATGAAACACTTCCATAGAAAGACTAAGCATATGCAGAATTTTCTTTTCTGGTTTCTCTTGTTCTTCCAAACTATTTTGAACTTTTGTATAATGGTGTTTTGGGTAAAAAATTGCACCCACAGTAAGCAAACACCCAAACTGAAATGGATTAGTATTGAGTGAGATATCCAACACGGGCGTATGTGACCAAAATGGAAATGGTATTTAGATGCACCTTCAGATGGCTTGTGGTCATTCATGAACCCTTGGAGAAGGGTGGTCTCATTCTGTGCCACACCCAGGGGGCAAGCTATCCACCTGCTATTTACAAGACTCTAGCAATGGGGGTTGTTGGCCCTGCTGCTGATGTAACGAACCAGCACTGATTTTTACTTGTATTTCTGGATCTTTTCCTCATAACAAACTATTAAACACTTCTACTTAGTGTTTGTTAGCCACCCTTCAGTGCTTCTACACACCTGCATGTGGGAGAATTTTCTGTAACTTCCCTACGTTTCAGTGTTTATTTTTTTAGTCAGTGTTTATTTTTTTTTTAGGGCTATTTGTCTTTCTGTCAGTTGTAAAAGAAGATCAAGAATTTTTCTTAACTGAAAATCCTTTTTTAAGGCTATTTTATTTTTAACTCTGTCCTTCACTCTATACTGTTTGTTTCTGGATTTGTACCATGCTCATCATGATTATGAACTGAAGACCAAGGGCAAAATAAGAGCTTGTTTGAGTGAACCTGTTGCCTTAGTGTGGTAAAAGCTGGATATTTTTACAAAGTTCATTACCCAGGCAGGGTGATCGACTGTGAGGGGAATCGTTTCCATCATAAAATCTGCTAAATAGTTTACACCATTCCTTATGAGCTTAGAGTGCTCTAGTTGTGGTATACTGTCAAATAAGAAAGTCGAGATATTGAAAATAAGCGAGAAGAAGAAATGATCCCTGGGCAAGAAAATGAGAAATCATCAATATATGTCAACAAATTTATAGTCAATCCAACCAAGTATACCAGTTGATTGAAAACCTGAATATATAACCACTTCTAGTAATGCAATAGCTATATTTTAGAAATAAAATTTAAGTATAATAAGAAAAGTAGAGACACAGAAATCTAATATTCCAACTGAATATGTGTATTGACCATAGTATTTGTAGTCCTGATGTTTATGCATAGATATTCAAGCAATAATAAAGCATTTAAAGATTTAAGTTATATAAATGATACTTTGGAAGTCTGTATGGTATGTTACCTCCAGAGGTGAACTATTTAGACATCAATTTCTCTGTCCTCCATATAAAAAGAAATTTAATGTATGGGTTGTGCTCTTTCTTCTATGAGAGAGAGTGGTAATGGTAGAAATTCTTCCTGTTTTTGTTTAAAATCCTTGACTGGTTTTCTGATTAAATGTTTGCAAATGGTTTGTTCTAAAAGATATCCCAACCCTTTTAAGAAAAAAATTTCTGGTATAATCTGAGTTACTTTAGCAGAGCGGATAGGGCTGCACGCTCATTGCTAGTCAACACTCCAGTCAAGAATTACAGGAGCTGGGTGGTGCCCTAAAGTATAGCTGTACATACTGTTTCCGTCCTGGTGCTTCCAGGGAAAGAGACAGAAGTTCCAGAGACAACAGGGAAGGCAATTCCTGTTACTATGGCCTTACCTTACCACAAGTCAGGTAAGGTAAGTGGGCAGAGCCAGGCACAGCATTTTAGAGACTAAATCAATACAGCCGAGGGCAGGTTGTGTGTGTATGTTTACTGTTACCCTGCTTTTTTCTCCCCAAAAAGCCAAAAATAAGATGTCATTTAGAGAATCTACCAAAGCAACACATTATAGATCAAAGTAGAACTATAACAGTGTAAAATTGGACTAAGCCTATCCGTATGTCAGAAAAAAAGAAAATCTACCTTTGCACAAGGGTTATAGCTAGGGAAAAGAAGCTTCTGAAAGTCAAGTCAAATCATATATTCAAGTATTCTCAGGGTGCCCTGACGAGCCAACTTGAACTAGTAAACCCAGAGTCTCAGTTGCAGAGATGGATTCACTAGGCTATCAATGTCTGATGCTATTAAAACATTTCTCTTGTTCTCATGTTCTGCTCTCTAATCAGTCTTAAAATAATTTGAGTTCTAGGTAGCCTAGAACTCAAATTGGAAATGGCTTTGACAGTACCATCTGAATATCTTATCAGTTTGACAGTTATATATTTTGTTTAAGTAAATTAATTGGTCTTGAATTTCTGTGCATTTTTTGGGGACACAAATTAGCTTCTTTAGCCCACTCAGCTTTGAGGTTTTGTAAAATCAAATGTCTGCACCTATAGGCTAGAGGACTGGACCGTATCTATGGTGCGTTGCAATTAGGGAGACCTTTGGAAGACAGGTCAGATGATATTTATCTGGATATACTCCTCCTTTCTTTATTCCAGCCTTTCTTTCCAACATGTACACATCTCTTAGACCACTGATTCTGCAAGTAGGAGTCTGATTCTATATAAGAATTTCAGAGTAAGTTGGAAGAATCCTAAATTAGAGGTAATATTAAGGATTTAGTGGGTGTTTCAGGGAAGCCATTTCTACCGCACAATTTTAAGCAAGTAGAGGTGTTCAATAGGGGAATGAGTTATATGGTGAAGTAATGAGTTTCTGGTGGAGTTAAAAAAAGGGTTGTGTTGCTATTTCTCAGGGATAGTATAGAGTGTTATCATGTGGTAGATTAGATTATTTCAGACTTCTAAGTTCTTTGAACTCTAAGAGTAATATTTATTTCTATGACTAACACTTATTTATAGTAAATTACTAATAAACAATTACTAATATTCATTATAAAATATTATTTTTTATATTCTGGGAAAAAGAAGTAGAGAAATGGGGATGCTATTTAGACATAGTAAGAAAGGAAATTACTTTGCCTTAATTATAGAAATATTTTACTTTTTCCAAGAGTGTAATATATTTTAAATATTGACATGTCTATAATTCAGACATTCTTGCATACAGTGATCTTCATTATGTATTGTTTTCCTTATGGAGAACAATATGTTTGTGGATCCAAATTCAATTTTTAACATCATGCTTTAACACTGCAAATTATCTTAACAAAGCCATGCATATGAGTAGTAGTTTGGTTTATTATCTTTTCAGCTATCTTTTCCTGTGGGTGCACAAAACGGATCACATTTTTCCAGTAAACTAAAATTTTCAATTTGAATATATTTATATAATACTTCTATTTTCATATTTAATAACACTACAAGGAAACTAAAGTATTTGTATACTTGTACACCTATTGTGATTGCTTGATTTCACCCTTCCCCTACTTACTGACATATCCCCAAAGCAATTTGAAAACACTTTTGTTTAACCAATTAGAAAAGGAAAACTATCTTTCTTTCTGTTATATTTATATTATGCCTGAGACAGAAACAAAATTTGAATTTAGAAGTCAAGTCATGACTGTCTATGTTGTTATTAGAGTTGGTTTCAAAGAAGATATATAATTCTTATG